TAAGTTGTGGAGTTTGCACCTGAAGAGAAACTTTGTGTTCCCAACAAGCTATGTGAAGGACGGCTTTCACACATGCTTAACTCTCATATCTGAGCATGTGGAGAGACGTTCGTTCATCTATCTCACAGGGAACATGTTGTAGGAGAAACACTTTCTAAGGATTCTCAGTCTGTTTCCTAGTGCCGGTTGATGTTCCTGTAGCTTTCACTGTAAAACCGAGTTGGAGCTTGTTCTCCCCATATATATGTATGTAGAGGTGTTTGCAACTGAACCGAAACCTTGTGTTCCCAACAAGCTAGGTGAAGTATGCTTTCACACACACATAATTCTTAGAACTGGGCATGTGGAGAGACATTCGTTCATCTAGCACAAAGGGAACAGGTTGCAGGAGAAACACTTAACCTGTTTTCTCTGTCTGTTTCCTAATGCCAGTATGAAATTCCAGCAGTTTTCAGTTTAAACCCGAGTTGGAGCTTGTACCTCCCCATATATACGTATGGACTGGTGTTGGCAACTGATAAAAACTTTGTGTTCCCTTCATGCTAGGTGAAAGTAGGCTTTTGCACACGCTTAAGTCTCAAAAGTGTGCATGTGGAGAGACTTTCGTTCATCTAGCACAAAGGGAAAAGTTTGTAGAAGTAACACTAACTCTGGTTTCTCAGTCTGTTTTCTAGTGCCGGTTGAAACTCCTGCAGCTTTCACTGTAAAACCGAGTTGGAGGTTGCAATTCCCCAAATATATGTATGTCTTGGAGTTTGCAAATCAAGAGAAACTTTGTGTTCACAACAAGCTTGTGGAAGGACGGCTTTCACACACGCCTAACTCTCAAAACTGAACATATGGAGAACCGTTCGTTCATCTAGCTCACAGGGAACTGGTTGCAGGAGAAACACTTACTCCGGTTTCTCAGTCTGTTTACTAGTGCTTGTTAAATTTCCTGCAGCTTTCACTATAGAACCGATTTGGAGCTTGTACCCCCCATATATATGAATGTAGTGGAGTTTGCAACTGATGAGAAACTTTGTGTTCCCAACAAGCTAGTTGAAGGACGGCTTTCACACACGATTATCTCTCAAAACTGAGCATGTGGAGAAACGTTCGTTCATCTAGCACAAATGGAACAGGTTGCAAGAGAAACACTTACTCTGGTTTCTCGACTGTTTCCTAGGTCTGGTTTGAATTTCCTGCAGTTTTCACTGAAAACCGAGTTGGAGCTTGTACCTCCCCCTATATATGTATGTAGTGGAGTTTGCAACTGAAGAGAAACTTTGTGTTCACAACAGGTTTGGTGAAGGACGGCTTTCACACACGCTTTACTCTCTAAACTGAGCATGTGGGGAGACATCTGTTCATCTAGCACAAAGGGAACAGGTTGCAGTTGAAACACTTACTCTGGTTTCTCAGTCTGTTACCTATGGCCGTTATGAATTTCCTGCAGTTTGCACTGTAAAACCGAGTTTGAGCTTGTTCCTCCCCATATTAATGTATGTATTGGAGTTTGCAACTTAAGAGAAACTTTGTGTTCCCAACAAGCTAGGTGAAGGACGGCTTTCACACACACTTAACCCTCAAATTTTGGGATGTTGAGAGACGTTCATTCATCTAGCAGAAATGGAACATATTTGAGGAAAATCTATTATTCTGGTTTCTCCATCTATTTCCTAGAGCCGGTTTGAAGTTCCTGCTGTTTTCACTGGAAACGTGAGTTGGGGCTTGTACCTCCCATATTTATGTATGGAGTTTAGTTGACAACTGAAAAAAAAACTTTGTGTTCCTTTCAAGCTAGGTGAAGCACGGCATTCACACATGCTTTACTCTCAAAACTGAGCATGGGGAGAGATGTTCGTTCATCTACCACAAAGGGAACAGGTTAAAGAAGAAACTCTTACTCAATATTCTCAGTCTGTTTTCTAGTGCTGGTTTGAATTTCCTGCAGTTTTCACGGTAAAACCGTGTTGGAGTTTTTACCTCCCCATATATATGTATGTAGTGGAGTTTGCAACTGAAAATAATCTTTGTGTTCACAACAGGCTTGGTGAAGGACGGCTTTCACACACGCTTTACTCTCTAAACTGAGCATGTGGGGAGACATTTGTTCATCTAGCACAAAGGGAACAGGTTGCATGTGAAATACTTACTCTGGATTCTCAGTCTGTTTCCTAGTGCCAGTTTGAATTTCCTGCAGTTTACAGTGTAAATCCGAGTTGGAGCTTTTACCTCCCCATATATAAGTATGTAGTAGTGTTTGAAATTTAAGAGAATCTTTGTGTTCCCAACAAGCTTGGTGAAGCACGGCTTTCACACACGTTTAACTCTCAAATCTGAGCATGTGGTGAGATGTTCGTTCATCTAGCACAAAGGGAACATTTTGCAGGAGATACACTTACTCTTGTTTCTCAGTCTGGTTCCTAGAGCCGGTTTGAAGTTCCTGGACTTTTACTTTAATAAACAAGTTGGAGCTTGTACCTCCGCATATATATGTATGTAGTGGGGATTGCAACTGAAAAGAATCTTTGTGTTCTGAACAAGCAGGTTGATGTTCGCCTTTCACACAAACTTGTCTCTCAGTACTAAGCATGTGGAGACACTTTTGTTAATGTAGCCCAAACGGAATTGGTTGCAGGAAAAACACTTACTCGCGTTTCTCAGTTTGTTTCCTAGTGGCAGTTTGAAGTTTCTGCCATTTTCACTGCTGAGCCATGTTGGAGATAGTACTTCCCATTTATATGCATGAGTTGGGGTTTTCAACTGAAAAGAAACTTTGTGTTCCCAACAAGCTAGGTGAATAATGGCTTTCACACACACTTAGCTCTCAGAACTGAGCATGTGGAGAGATGTTCCTTCATGTAGCACAAAGGGAACAGTTTGCTGGGAGACACTCTCGTTTCTCAGTCTGATTCCTAGTGCCAGTTTGATGTTCCTGCAGTTTTCACAGTTATAATTATTTGGAGGTTACATCTCACAACATGTGAATATGTTGGTGTTTCCAACAGAAAAAAAACTTTGTGTTCCCGAGAACCTATGTGAAGGACGGCTTTCACACACAATTATCTCTCAGATCTTAGCATGTGCAGAGACGTTCGTTCATTTAACACAAAGGGAACGAGTTGCAGATGAAACACTTACTCTGTTTTCAAACTTTTTCCTAGTATGTGTTTGAAATTTCTGTATTTTTCACTGTAAAA